GCGCCACAGCCAGAGTCATCCAGCCCACCCAAAGTTCGCACGTGTTTGATTCTGGTCCATGTTTGTGGACAATATGAAAATGTGTTTCGAAAGAAATCATCCCAGCATTGGCTCACCATATGCTCGCCACCATGCAGTTGGGAATCAGCTTTAGTAGGCGACCCGGGCGGTGGACATCATATAGAGGCGGAGATATGCATTTGAGGTGGTTGTATGGGGGGAAAGGGCGCACGATTTTAATTGTTTCGGGAATTTTCAACAACAGCAAACACATGACCGTCTGATTGTGTGCTGATCCGTCCTGGCGCATCACCTTCTTCTGAAGTTTCCTACGCTGCCAGGTGATCCGGTTGCGCCGGGACCTCGCCGCCTGTTGGTCGCAGAGGTGGCAGTGGTCGCAGGTATCCCCCTTCCAGCACCCGTCCTCAACAATTCGATGGATTCGTCTCAATGTCGGAAAACTAGCCCACGCATAATGGTTTTTGGCGCACGCTGGAACCCATCTATTGAACCCTGTTTTGGGGCTTTCTGATTGGGCTACTGACGGATTCTCGGTCTAGAGCACCAATCCTAGGGAAAGGCTCGACATTCCAACCATGGTATGTTGGTAACCTCTTCTTTGCAGACCCAACCTTACATGAAAAGAGCCAAAAAAAACACATGAAAGGGTGTGTTGCCATTTAGCACGTTCAAAGCAACTCACGAAAGGACACCTTACAGAATGCAAAACATTTTGTGCACAATCATACACACACACAAAACGCCTAACAACACTTTACAGCATGTCTGGATTTCAGGCTTGAGCTGCAAAGTTCTCAGGACTCTGATTTTGAAGTCTGGAACCTTGAATTGAAAAACCATTAAAGCGCTTCAGTGCGTTTTGAGGCTCTAGAGTCTGGAGGTGAAGACACGCATCGAATATGACAACCTTCCCCCCCGCCTGTGAAGAGATGCCCGTGTTAAGAGCTGACATGCGCAAACACATCTCTGAACCTGGAGAAGCTGTCCAAGCCAAACACAAAAACTTGAATATGTCGAGCATTGTTCAAGGATGGGGGTGGGGGAAGTACGTGCACTTGACCACCATCAAATCAATGTTGGAGACCCGGTGCTTCCCACCATTTTCTGAGAGTGTAAACGCTCGTTCAGCGGTAAATGTGCGCACGTGTATGTTTGTGCGCATGTACGTGGGCAAATACGAGGCCAAAAAAAAGGTATTCACGGTCTTGGCAAAAGAGCCCGGAGGGTAACCAGTCATGAAGCCACCTCGGCCTTGCGCTTCCGCTTGCGAAACACTTGAGCGGAACTTGCGCGAACTCTTTCGAGTTAAAATGACAGAAAACGTGTATGTCTTTTGGAGCAACCAGCAACAACCCCCCGTCTACTTCAAAGGCACTGATGCTGGCACTGATGCTTCGAGCCACCAAACTGTTCGGGATGCAGATTTGACTTGAGCGAACTTTGTGAACGCAGCGGTATTCACTTGCGTGGCCGCATGCTTGTTTCAAACATGACATGCCGAATTCCAAGCGGCGGCCTACTTAGCCGAAGCCGAAACCCTGAGTATGCCCCGGCATTTTGCCTCACATGTGTGTGTGTGTGTGTATGTATGGTATGTATGCGCGTCTGTGCTTCTATGTATGTATGTATGCATGTGTATGTATGTATGTATGTCTGCATGTATGTATGTATGTTTGTATGTACGCATCGATGCACGTGTGTGTTTGTGCTTATTTATGTGCGCATGAGTGTGTGTGTGTATGCAAGTATGTATGTATGCACGTGTGTGCTTCTATGTATGTATGTATGTATGTATGTATGTATGTATGTATGTATGTATGTATGTATGTATGTACGTGATTGTTATGTGTGTATGTGTGGTGTGTATGCATGTATGTGTGTAAGTATACGTGTATGGCGCATATATGTAAGTACAAATATATATGTGTGTACGTGTGTTTGTATATGTGTGTACCCACGTATGTATGTATGTATGTATCTATGTATGTGTTTGTATGTGAGCATGTGTGTATGATGTACGCATGCACAGGAGTGTGTGGGTATGTAGATGTCGCGAGTGTTTGTGTATAAAATGTGTCTGCACGTATGCGTGTGTGGGTGTACGTGTGTGTATATGTGTAAAATGCATGTGTGCGTCTATATATGTGTGTGTGTATGAGTGTGTACGAAAATATGTATGTCCGTTTGCGCGTGTTCATGGAAATACGCACGTAACTATGTTTGTATGCTGCATTTGTGTAGGTGGGTAAGTTTGTTGAAATGTATGTATGCATGCATGTATGTATGTGTGTTTTCAGGAGCGTATGTACGTAGGATTGCACGTATTTTTGTGTGTATGAATGTAAGCGTGTTATGTGTGCAATGTGTATGTGTGTATGCGTGTGTGGGTGTGTGGGTGTATGTGTGTATGTGTGTATGCGTGTATGCGTGTGTGCGTATGTGTGTATGTGTGTTTGTGTGTGTGTACGTGTGCATTTATGTATGCACGTACGCGTGTGCGTATGCATGCATGTACGTGTATGTATACGAATGTATGTGTATGTATCTATATTTAATATGTATGACTTGAAGTAAGCAAGCATGCGTGTGTGTGTATGTGTGTTTGTATATATGCAGATGTACGTGTTTGTGTATGTGCATGATAAATGCGCATGCGTGTGTGTGTGTGTGTGTGTGCAGGACGACGTTGCAAAGCCTGAGGCGGACAGAATTCAACAAAGGCATCCTCCATTGACCTGCCTTCTCAGAGCTAGCAGCAATTCTTGTTTATGCGCGCGCAATGGCCAATGTCTCGCTTTTTCTCGTTGGCTTATTGGATTGGCGTACCTGTGGACAAACGTCAGCAGGCGAAGCCCTGAGAGTATCCAGCTGAGCATTACACGGAAAATGTGGCGGTTTCCTCTGGGTTTTGGTAATGTGTGTCTGCATGCTACTACTAGTAGAGCCAGCACAGCCAGGGGAAAATCTCAAAAAAGAATAGTCCCCGCCACACGCGCACGCATTCTTTTCGCGCGTGCTTGTTCTTCTCTTGGCATCTGTCTCAGAGAGCAAGCTTTCAATTAGTTGCCGCGCCACAGAAACTCCTTGCATCACAATTTCCATTCCGCCCCCCCCCCCCCCTCAGACCCCCCCCAGCCCTGAAATAGCTTATTCGGAATTATTTTTGACACACGCAGCAAAACGAGGGCAACCTGCGCCTTCCCGCTGCAACAGCTGATATGGCTTAATTTGGTACTATTTTCAAAGCCTCCATGCCCTTGAAAGCTAGCGAAGCAGAGAACAATTCAATGTCCAGACGCCCGCTCCGCAATTCCCCTTCCCCTTCTTCACCCCCACCTTCCCACCCTCACCTGGAAACCAGCGCAACGCAACCGTTTACCCCGGTAGAGGTCCCCAGAAACCAGAAAAGCTGAGGTTTTTTGCGGGAAGCTGGCCTTTATTTGGATCTAATAGTGTCAACTGTGCCGTTTTGTTTGCGATAGTTTCGCCTTAATTTGGCCTGTTTGTTGCGCTGAAATGCGCAGTTTCTGAATTTGTGCAGTACGCTAACTCAAACTGGCTGGATTTGGCTTGTGCGTATCCATCCTCGGATTCAATGTATGCCTTGCGCCCACTGAATTTCCCCTCTGCCTCTCTACCGGCAGCTTTCAGATTCTAATTCTTGCTCCACTGTTGATGATTCTAGCTTTTGAAATAATTAGCAAGATCCTTTCGGAAATGAGCCCAGTGAGGCGTCAAACGGTGCCGAAGAAAGCCCTCAAAAGCTATGCATGGGCTAACGCACAAGCTTACCCTGGCCTTGTTTGTTCGCATGGAGGTAAAAATAATTTTGCATAGGGTGTCCGAAAATAAGCTTAGATAAGCTTGTTCAATGATTCTGGCGTTATTTTTGAGCGTGGAAACAAACATGCGGTTTGTTTTGTTTTTGCTTATTTGTTTGAGGGCGGGGGGTGTCCAAGGGGGGGCGGGGTTGTTGGCCTTCTGTGATTCTAAACTTCCTTTGACGACTCCTAACCTAAACCTTAAACCTACATTCTGGGCTCGTGCTACCCCCGAACCGATGAGCTCGCGGCGAAAAGACTTCTTAGTGTAAAAATATGGGGATCCTCAGGAAGGTTGTCCTTTTGGTTTCCCACAACACCTTCCCAACAAATAGTACCTCCAAAATCACGCAAGCACACCAAAACACATGAATCGTGCCTGAAACCCTGGAGCAGAACTGAGAATTCACTCACGCCAGGCCTTGTTTGGATGAGGCCCCTTTTTCAGCTAGAAATGGGAAGGGTGCTCATGACATGGACCAAAGACTGCAAAATGTTTTGGCACTTTGGGTTGGACATGTCCGATGTCCGATTCTTCAGCCGCCCGTGTCCTGTTTGCGGGTGAAGAAAAGGCAAGGCTTGCAATTGCCAGCCTCATGAAGTTGACGTTGAGCCAAATGCGACACAGGGATGGCGCTCGGCATCTCGGGCTCAGCGAGCATTACTATGAACGGCCTCAAGCCAATACTCGAGCTTGAAGACTGCAGCACATGCAGTCAAGTGCCACGCGCACAGACATTCATGGTGAAGCTGAACCTGCTTGATAAGACATGTGTCGAGTCACTCCGATTGATCCCTTCAGTGTTTACCTTGAACCCCTTTCTGCTTGAACGTACAGCGGCCGCCTTGAAGTGTAGCAACACCTTTCGAGGGGTACCATTTAACCAAACAATACCTGAGGCGTTTTACGGCTCCGCACAATCTGGGCAAGTTGGCATGACTCCTGAAACTGGACTTCTTGCAAAAGACCGCCATTACGGGTGAGCTTGTGTCCTTGGCTCGCTGGGTTCGGCGTCAAAAAAAAAGAAAGGCCCAGCTGAAGCCTCAAAAAACTTTTCGGCCAGGTTACCAGTGCTCCAAACTGAGGGTGTGACGCCTCCTGTTTTTTAGGGCTCGCAGGGGGGAAGTTGCCCCAAAGCAGGTGACCAACCCTCGAGCCTGTGACACCGGGGGCGATGGGGCCGGCACTCCTCCCAGGTGAGACGGTCTCAGGGTTTTGGCCAGAACTTAAATGGAAGGCGCCTTGCTTCATTTCAATCAAAACAACCATAAAAACTGATCACGTAATGCAGCCTTTGATTTGAGAGAAACAACTCTCGGAATACAACTGTTCAGTAAGACCTTGTAAATTAGTATTGGCAACTTTTGGGGTCGGCTGGAGGGGGTTATTATTAGGGGTGTGTTTATGAATAGGAAGAAGTGATTAAAAGGAATGGAAATGCGTTCAGGTAGACAACGCTTGGCCACCCCAACAAAGGCCCCCAGGTACTGTTGATACTTGCAAGCTCATCGCTACGGGGGTTCTTGAGCTGTAGCCAGAGAGTTGGCGCTGTTTCCATCTATAGTGGAAGCAACCTAGTTTACAGTTTACAGGCATGCATCTGAGACAACACTCGACCGAACAGGCTCTAGTGTCACAAGGGAACCCAGCGCTTAGTGTGACACAATCCTCTGAGCAACACAAGGAACTGTGCAAACAAAGCCCTCGTGGCACACTGCAATCCCTTTGCCACAGGCCTCAAGGCAGGTCTATGTTGGGTTTCTGGAGGGTCATCATCGTGCATGACGCCTCCAAGTTTGTAGCAAAGATCTCCGCCAGTCGCCCATGCCAAGCGCAGTGATTCCAAATAACATTAATTGTGGCAGGTAGCAAAAGAAAAACCGCCGAGGGATAAGCTTATGTTTCTTATCAAGATGGCAAATGACTCAAACAGAAAACTAGGAGGGTTCTCTTTGTTTTTGTGTTGGATAAGAGATCACCATGTCTGCCTATTTCTGGAACACACCGCAAACCAGCATAACCCAAGTCACCGATTTGCCCGCGAAGGAGCTTGATACCATGTTATCGGGCTTAATTACCAATTCATTGAAACCATTGGCATGTTCAACAACCAGCTGTTGTTCAGGGATGTTTGCAGGTTGTCCGGGAAGAAAGGATCCCTATAATGGAGAAACGGGGGTTATGCAACATCCGGCTTTGGCAAATATATCGCTTGCTGGCTTTGCTGCTGTTGGTTGCGGCTCAGGTTTGCTCACCGTCCCGTCTCCGTTCGGTTGGCTCAGCTGTCTCAGGTGCACATCCCATTCGCACCTCGTGGGACGGATTCCTCTGCCTCCAAAGGCGCGGCGGTCGGCCCGCAACATGTTTCTGCATGCGGTGGGGAGCCCCTATCTGGATAGTTTAAATGCAGATACTTCGAGAGACACCTCATTTGATAAACAAAGGCGCATCCCGCAACTAAGACTGCCAACATGTATGAATGCTGCTAAAGGTTGTGTGGTATCACATCGTGTTGCGCTCACTCGGTTGATGAGCGAAGCAAAACAGCGCGGCCAAAATTGACCACACAAGGTGCAGCAAATGCAGCATGTGTGTGTGTGTGCTTGAGTCTGTTGCTCAAGAGATGTGAAGAGCCCACTGGAACCCCCAAACGCATGCTAGAAAGGATCATTCTCCAGCATGCCGGCAATGCGACACCCAAAAGCGGGAGTCTGCAGAACTGCGAGATGTGGCCCACTTCCCCTTTGCGTGGAATGCATTCCGATCAAAGCTGGAGACCCGGTTCGAGGTGGTTTGTCACACAGAACAAGGACAAGCACCTCACGGGCAAAGCCCGTCTCACATGAGCAAGGCTCCAAATCTGCGGCTGCCGTAAAAACAAGGTGGAAACATAAGCAAACTCCCTGGTGTGTCCAGCAAAATTCGCAAGCCCACCCCATGCCCGCCCCCAAGTGGATCATAGACTACCAGAGATATGGACCATGCCTCACATGCTCAGAAAAGGTCCCATGGACAAACGTGCTGTCCTTTCTTGAACTGTCGAAGCGAAGGGCCGGCAAATCTTTACCAATCGAGCCATACAGCTCTGCCGTTCTTGCCTCGGCATTCCGAGGACTCTCTGTCCTGAGCGGGCAGTCAGACATGACGTCGCACAGCTTTCAAGCATCGCAAAGACGAATCCGGCTTTTGACATACGAAAAGGGAAGCGCGTCGCATGATCAGTTGCAAATCAGCAGTGTAACAAATGGGTGAATAGGTTTTAGCAGTTCCAACTCAGAACAGCCATAGTGACAGGTACACACATTTGCGAAAAAATGAATCCGGAGTGGCATCTTGCATTCTTGGTCAAGGATAACATTGCGACACACAACGCGCGACAACACCTGAAAACGTAAAGCGGGAACTTTGGGTACCTCACAAGACCCAACCCCCCTCCCCCAACCCCGTTCCCCTCCCAACCCCCCAGGCCCCAGACCCTCCAACCCCTATCGAAACCCCTGCGAATGGCGCAACCCCTCCACAGTCTTCCCGTGCCCCATCCTCAAATCCCTCTAAACCCCCAAGCCACCGAGAGGCACAAACCGACCAAGCCACCGTCAAACAAGAACCAAGGAGGTTGAAGAAACATTGTGGTTGACTTCTTGGGTTGAAGAAACAAGAGTGGATTGCACCCACTTCTTGGATTGCACCCCTGTCCAAACAGAGTCCCCTCAAAACACAAACTCATCAAAGAGGTTCCCCTGCCCCCTGCCAAGAGCCCGGCACGCTGGAGAAGCCCCCGCTGACGCCGCTCTGCAAGTGCCTCTGATGGTGACAGAAGCTGCTCCCAAAGTCAGCATGGACCCCTGTAGCAGACCACACGGAACTCAAAAAGGTGATCCATTGGAATCCATGTACTCCCCAAGTCATCGTGGAACCGAGATCTCATCGTGCGCGCGTTGCGCAGCTGAAGCCGGAGGGCGTGAAACCCCAAGCAAGGATCCATGTACTGCCCGGCCAAGCTGACATGGAATCCCAAGAAGGGGTCTACCGGCTTGCTTCTTAAAATGAGGACTTGTTCGTTCAATGACCGTGCGTAGGTCCAGATCGTATGTGGCCAGAAAGCAGTCGGAAAAATAGCACGTGTCCAACCTCTAGGAAAGAAAAGCCGCATACCTGCCTAGGGGAAGGTGCCTGCACATAGGAAGAATCTGCCAAGGTCTTTTGTGACTGGCGCACTTGCCAACTGCTGCCCTACAGCGCGGTCATTGTAGGAAAAATAGATGGTGAAGCCTTTGAGATTCTGGGCATCTCTGGACACCTCCCCATACAACGCTAGCTAGTTTAGAACGTCAGCGTCACTGACCGTCACACCAAAGTTTCTAGCACCAAAAGCCGCCGCGGCTTTTCAAGCCACTCATTCCTTCAGCAGCAAGCAGCTTGCTGGCAACGACTTGGCACCCTGTGTCGTGGGAATCTTAGCCTTGCCATATCGACATGTTCACAAACGCCCTTCAAATCCACAGCGCCAAAGCAGAAAAATATTTCGAATGTTTGTCGGGCCCTCAACACAAGTCCGAGTCAAAGTGACAGTTCCTGAATTTGGCAGTGGGGCCCGTTGCCCCAAAAGGTCACCGATGTCACCGCTAAGAAACTCAGAGCCATGAGCTTGTAGCTACATTGTCGGCACATGCCCCTCACATAGCACCTAGGATGATCAATGCAAACATGTCATAGCTTGGAAGGACGTTTGCTAGCTGGAAGCATGGGAAAACGACGGTTCATCGTTCCTCCGTCCTCCCACTAGTAATAAATGTGCCGCGTTGTACACATTCTGTACTTGAGTATATACTTGTACACATATGTAGGGCCCAAAATCGGCAGTAGCAGCGTATTGTTGCATTTCGGCAATTCTGTTCCAAGTTGTCCATTTCAGGGGTCTCATGTCACGATTGGACCATCCGTGGGAAGCTACTCAACAATAGCTACTGCTCAGGTGATTTTTGTGTCCAGGAATGGGTAATTAAATCCCATAGAAGAACAACAGGGGCGGGCCAAGGTGGAATGCAGGAAGTATGGTTGTTGCAGGAAAGATTGGGACGGTATACAATAGGCAGAAGTGATGTCCGGATACTTTCCACAATACTTCTTGCTTGCTGGACTTCTGATATCTACACGCTATTTGTTTGAGAGCCCTGGCATCCTTCAGTTTGCTAAACGTGCCACGAAACGTATAGGAGTCTCCATCCACCCCAAACTTCTCCACTTTTTGAAATTCCGCCTGAGGCAAACGAAAGAAGTCTTTGCCTTCCCACATCCCACTGAGGTACTTGCGATCGCGGGGCGCCGCACAGATCCGGCCTTGGGCCCACAAAATCTAACACGGGGAAGCCTGTCTGTTGTCAGTTGCTTTCAAAGTATCCCCTTTGCCAAAGCCAAATCCTCGGAACATTCCCAGAGCCCTTTGTGAACCTGCCCCAAGAGAAACGCATCAAGATCCAGATGCCCTGCTAGCTCAGGCAAAGGATTCCCGTCCCACACTCCACACTCCAGGAATGCCCAGGGCAGTAGGACAATCCAGGCTCACCTTCAGCAGCGCTGAAGACAAACCCGAATAAACCATTTGGAGTCGAAGGGGTTCCAATTGTCCTTGGTCTTCTTTCAATCCTCATGTTGGTCTAGGGCAACCAAGTTTTGACTTGCCAATTGGCAGGGTTGCCTTGGCCCATGCCTTGGCACATGCCAAGCGCAGGTGCTTGGGTCCCCTGTCGCACTGGGCTCCAGCCAGGGGTTCATCCTGCCGGCAATGTGTGGTGTGTGCGTCGCAAAATGAGAGCGATGGTTTTAAAGGACATCTAGAAAGTAAAGGACGTCTTGATCCATTCCGAGGCTATGGCAAAAGCAAGACATCCGCAACATCACCGTGACCACATGAATACACATTATCCAACCCTGCCATGCGGTCCAAAACACGTCGAAGCCACCTTGAGCACAAGGGGAATCCGATCTGACCGCCCGTCTTGTCAAAAGTAATTACCCTCAAAGGGCAAACCCTCGGCGCAAAGCAAAACGCACACCAAGCGTTCTAAGGCTTCTCGCATTTGGAGGGAAGTGTAAAAAACAGTCAGCTCTCCAAACAAACAATCTGCATCACAAGGGGACCACATTATGTACCACTGTTTCTGCCCATGTGTGAACTTGTGTTGGGGACCCGGGTCGGGCCAATTCGAAACATGCTAAAACCCACCAATCCGTTACCCGTAACCGTGATGCAAGACATATGCGAGGAAGAAAAGCAATGTCATAGAGGGCCGAACAGCTTCCTCTTCTGCGCAAATTAAGTTCCTCCCTTACCAGGCACGGACCCCAAACTCGCTGTCTGCTACAAACAAAATTGAAAATGAAAACAAAACACACGCACAAACACACACACACACAACGACACACACACACAAACACAGCACAAACGCACAGCACACACGCACAGCACACACGCAGACACCCGCACACCCACACACATGCACACACACAAGAAAACAATCACACACACACACAATCACAAACACACACACACACAAACACAACCACACAAACACACACACACACAAACACAAACAGAAACACAAACACACACACACACACAAACAGAAACACAAACACACACACACACACACAACCCCAAACACAAACACAAACACAAACACAAACAGACACACACACACACACCCACTCACACACACACACACACACACACACACACACACGCACAGACACGCACGCGCACACACGCACAGACGCACAGCACACATTGACATATCGACGCCTTGTAGTTGTTTCTGGCCCTAAGTGCGATTGGACCCTGCATCAACGATGATCAGGACCGCCACCGGAAGGCTTGGACGATAACAAAGGTACCCAGATTCTTGGGACATTTGGCCGTTTCTTGAAATTGGGGATCGGAGATCCTCACAACGTTGGTTGTGCCTTTGGTTTCCCTTTCCAAGTCCAAAAGGGGGTATCAATCAAAATCTGAAGCTGTAAGCACTTCGGAATTGTATCAATCACCTCGGGTTGACGACAAACGTGAGGCGTTCCCCGTCCAGCTGAGCCAGGAGGGCACGAGCTCCGGCAAGTCCAGGCCGAAGTCGCAGACCTTGGCTTTCGGCCACTTGCGCTGCCTGGTCAAAAGGAGGTGAAACATTTTACCACACAAAAATGGTCTTCGGGGGAACCACAAGTACGCCCAGGAACTCGAGTGAGAATCACAAGGTTGAAGTGGCTCATGACCGAGACAACTTCCTGAAATGCAATTTGCTCACTTGGCCGCACTGTGAAGTTCTTATCACAGATCGAGCTGGGATGTAAGTGGCTTCCAACGCAAAATAGCAAATGCCACCCTTTTCCATAATCGGCCCTTCGAACGTGGCGTCCTGCCTGGATGCTTGCGTGGTGTGAGCAGTGGCCACGGCCCCTAAATGCACGCGTTTGTCGGATAATTGTGTGCGACATATTCGTGAACTGGGTGCGAACAAAACAACTGTTGGTTTCCTTTTGCTGAAACAACATACTACAACAACGGCGCATCTGGGCTATTTAGAGCCCAATGAATGGCGCAAGCGAAGACGTCGCCAAGTTGCCCGCTTGCTCCAGGATGACACGGGAACATTTCTTCGGACAAATGGCAAGCCCAAATGAGGCAAAATCTCAAGACTCGGAACTTCTCAAAAATGCTGAGAGCCCAGCCACATGCCGGATATCCTCCTGGCATTCAAAGGCGTAGGTCCACAAGAGGTGCCACAAACCACTTGATGCACAAGAGGAACCATGTCAGCGAAAAGTCTGCGAAACGTGCCCAACTGTTTTAGCCAGCTCCACTGGTCCCTGTGATTCCCCTGAGGCGCGCGTCGATCGATCGATGGATCCATCCTCCAACTGCGAGAAGTCGGCAGCCAGCACCGGCGGCTGACACTGAGCGAAGGAGCGACCGAAGCTACGAATCCAATGGAGCCTTTGCCACATTTAGACCCGTTCCACTGAGTGCTATCAGCTGGTTGGCTGGGAAAATGATGGCTTGCCAAAAAGGGCAAATCGGAAACAACTTTAGTGCAGTCTGGCAATGGAGTCTTGATCGAAACACACCTTTGTGAGGTCAGCTGAAGTAACCGAATTCCGAGTAGAAGTTGCTTGTCCATGAACGCATGAATGCCGGCTGATTGTCGCATCCCCACGATTGATCTCTGCGACTGGAAGCATCCGAGCACATGTGCATTTTGCCTGGCTATTGAAGTCCAACTGGCCGCACAGGAAGACAGGGGGCTAATTGAGAGGCTTACAATCTGTGATGGCTTCCTCTGGTTGTGTGCTAAATCGTGGCAGCGTTCAATGATGTTGAACAAAATACATCCTTGCTTTGTTGGTTAGTTGGGTTGCCGGGTTCCCGTAACTCAACTTGTTTGGGTCCGTGGCCCAGGCTGATTTTTAAAGAAGTTTGGAAGAAACAATGAATCTTGACCCCAGCAGATTGTGTTAATTGTGGTTGCCCCAAAAGATCCCACTTTGGAGGACACTTCCCCTCATCCACTATTACTACCAGGGTGGGGTCAACCCCTTGTTCAAAACAGATTGACCCAATATTGCTTCAACAACCTCCTTTGGGTTTCCCTTCACTTCCAGATGAACCCGCATATGATTGGTTAAACAAATGTTGCCCTACCCTGGTTGCTACACCGCCTGCCTGGCAGCACGGGCCGCGCTACAAGCCTTACTAAGTCACTTTAATCCTTTAGCGACCCCGTGGAGCCTTGCTACAACCTGCGTGTCAAGACATGTTAAAACCAGAGTCAACTGCGCTCCCATGTTTGACAGCCAGCAAAGCAGTCTGATTCCCTTTCTGAAATGAAAGAAAAGTGCTGGCAAGAGCTGGCTCCACTAGGGTTCCAAGCTTATTTGTTTTGGAATTTGCCCTGCAACGCGGGGGGGGGGGGGAAACAGTCTTTTCTTGGGCTCCATGTTCATCTCTGGCATGGGGGGGGGGGTCCTGGATATTGCCCAACAACGTGTGGTGAAATGAACCGTTTGTACGGGAATAGTTTGAGTGTCAGAGTGTCCAAGTACTACCAATTCACAAATGGGATTTTCCGAATGGCATCCTTGACGGCAAATGACAATAAATACTCACCGCTGCTCAAATCCCATCTGGATGTAAGTGTTGCTCACATATATTTTCAACTTTTGGATCCATCCGCATTTCATACCTTCATTCTTACATGGAGCCTCAAACGACCTGTTTTTCAAACATCGGGGATGTTGCTCCAAGAATAAGTCCCCAAGTCTTTATTTTGACGGAGCAAAGCAACCCACCCGAATGGGTCTACTTGCTTGCTACAATTCACAAACCGGACAAAAGAAAACCCAAGTGAGGCACCTGTTGTACCCCCGATGGGCGAACTCCGCATTTACGCGCAAAGCCGGGCCTTGGGGGTTTCGCAGCTGGAGCCAACCCACCTGGAGATCGCACATGAAGAACAGTCCCTAAAACTCGCCTTCGGAGCGGAGATGCCAAACCACACTTTCCTTTTGCCGCTGAAATGGTCTTCTCAAAAAGGATACGGAGGAGCTCAGTAATTGGACAAAACAACACCGCCGCTAAGCCTCATGAAGGCAACAAGCAAAGGCCTCAAGAAGCGGGTGATTTGGGAGGCGTGGTGGGGTCTCTGAATTCCTATGTCTCAGCAACTTGAGAGCATAGATCCTCCAAAAGAATCTTGCATGGGGATTGCGTGCATGTGATTCGCTGGGAGGGGATTGATAAGGGAACCCATCAAAGGAAGAGGCCATAAGCCTCCAACTGCCCCCAAGCAAAGCTACTATTGATTCTGAGCATATGCAGTGACCCTAACATTGAAAAGGAACTTGTTGAATCTTCCAAATAGATCCCAGGAAAGGCGCCACCAACCAGACTGGGCTTGGGCAAACAAAAAGTAAGGCCGGACTGCCTGTCTCGCGGCAAGTGATCCAACAGTTGTTTCCGTCTGCTCCTGAAAGTTGCTTCGCCCAGTCCTTGTTTCTTTGCGGTTTGCGCATACTAGCCTTATGTCGTTGGCCGTATCAAGCCCAAACAGCTTGGGGTGGGGGGTGGTTTGACAGGCCGTTGTGATGCCTCAATTGGGGGGCAAGAACTTTGCCAACGCACAGGCAAAAATGGTTTGCGTCCCCCGACATTCCCAGTTGAAGGCTAATTTGGAGCCCAGCAAAACACCCAGTGTGCCTTCGTCAAAACTATTTATGCAAGCCCTCGATCCCTCCCTACGAACCCAGAACAATTGGTTGTCGAAGTTCCCAGGGGTGCATGACCATCCCCAACCCCAAGCAAACGGGAAAAACCCACTATTCCCACTGTTCCCACTCTCATGAGACCATACTAAATGCACAGTTGTTTCCACCATCAATGCACCCAACAGTCTCATGAGACCTGCGGGGATTGGATCCAGCTCGCATCACACGACCCGGAATGCGCAGTGGCACTTTTCTCGAGCAAACTTGAGAGGGACACACGATTCCCAGGAGGAATAGTGGAACTGGACCCAGTAAATAGTACATGAGCAAGCAATCCGTGCTGCTTGCTAACTTCACCTTCACCTCTTCTGAAAAGGCTTCCTCCTGCTCCAAACCCAAAAACCCAAACGCACAAAGCATGCAGTCTTCTTTGTGGAAGTATTTGCTCAAACATGCTTTCGGGGCCCTGGGGATCTCTTACGAGCCCACCGCCTCTTGCTGCTGGGCGGGCTCGGGCTTGGGCTTGGAACACTCCTGGGCTCCTGGAAGGGCGGGTTGGCCCCAAGAGATCCCACTCACAACCAGTGACCAAGATACGTTGAGTCACTTCTGTTTGGTGGCTCAAAGCAAAGAACCCACCAAACAAAAAGGGGCTGGGAGGGAATCAAGCGAGAAACTACGTAGTTTGGCCAGTGATCCAAGGCTGGGCACAGGGCTTCAACAAATCTGTTTAAACCATCCGCTGGTCACCTATGAAAAGGAAACCCAAATATGAATCCGGGTTGAACACTATGGTTGCTTTGAGACCGAAACGGAACCCAATGAAGCCAAAAGGGAACCAAGCACTCGAATAAGCACCCTCCTCAAATTCACGCCTGCCGCCTGCTCTCAGTTCGCGGGTCCTTGTCCTCAGGCTCAAACACCTGGCGTGACGCGCTGCTTTTCACTCCCTGCTCTAGGTAGGTTCGACCTAAGAAGCGCTCGTGACAGAACTATGTCTATGCATTATATGAGCTACGATGGTTATTTTGTTGCATACCTGCATGGTCAGGTGCTCCTACCCCATTCTCCAGCCCGGCGACGTGTTGAAGTCCCTGATGTCGTTCTCCAGTGCTGCGTGTGTTTAGTGCAATCAATGTCGGAGACAAATCAAGTAAAGTCGGAGGACAAAGCGGAGAAAGATCTATTCCATTTTTGCGCTTGCATGTTGGCTTCTGTCTGAGTGTCAACATCATGGACTTGTCTTGTCTTGGCCTCGCTTCTGCGGGAGTGCAGTAGGCTGTTGCTCGTATGTGGCTTACCTGGGGAAATGAGTTCGAAATTGAGCACGCGGAGCAAAGGAGCGCCTCTGCAAACAAAGATGCTTCTTTGTGAGCGCGGAAGCAGCACTTCCAAAGAACAGCGCTACCAATCGTATCGGCATGGCTTCCAAACATGCTCGCCGCTCAGTCTGCAATGAGCCCACCACAATTTCAGCTCACTCTCAGCATGCAAAAACGCGAGTGGTCGACATATCATGTCATCAATGCTTTGTTCATCCTATCTTGTCTAGCGGGTGTTCCTACCTCGTTTCGAACCCAATCCAGCACGTTACCCGTCTTGCGCATTGACAATGTGAGACCCAGGGTAAGCCGACAATAACACTGACGACTTGAAGCACTGAGGCTGAACGGGCAATTGAGGGGCTGGAGTGACGCTTCGGGGTGGCGGATTTTCGGGACTGCCAGCAACCTTAACATTGAAAGCCACCGGTTTCCGTGTGATTCCTAAAAGGAACGAGACATTATAATGATGTTCATAATCATGCCCAACTGGGAATGAGCCTACCAGGCGTTTCAAAAATACAAGAAATCACAGGCAACGCTTTTAGTATTCCATTCCTTGCAAGCAAGTTGGGGCCAGTGCCTGGGTGACCCAGGCACTATGGATGATTCCCAGCAGCGATTTAATGTGATAGCCCTGAAAGGTGTTTTTGTCCCGGCTCCCCGGATCCCGGTCGTGGCTTGAGGATTGTGGAAGAGACTGAGCAGGTTCATTGGCCGCGGGAATTTGCATCCCATGTTCGTTACTGGGAACCCAGCGGCCCCGGCAATGGCATGGCTTTCCTATTGGTGTCCCTTTAAACAAACCGGACAAGGGCCCGCCAAAAACACTCAAATGTGTTTGTGTCAAATTTGTTTCTGTCATTGTGATGAACCCCTGACAAAACGCACCTCATAGTTTGGATGTTGCGAACCAGTCAGCTCAACCAGTTGTCCCATCGGCCCATTGGCAAGCGCGTCTTTCTGCCTCGGGGTGGAAGGTGCTGCCTGCCGCCTCGCGGTACCGCTTCAGCGCCGAGAGCACCGGGTCGCTGCCTCGAAGCGGAGGAAACGAGAGCGAGCGGCGAGCTTTCGAGCGAGCAGCATGGGCTCCAGAGAAAATGAGAAACGGCGCGCCGAGAAAAAAAAGAAGAGCAATGTACAGAAACATACTATATATATATATATATGTTTGCAAAGTTTGCCATCGCTCCAATTGATGGAAATTTATCCGGATCCATAGAAATGGGGGATTGCCCCAACAGGTCGGGGCGCTGTCCTTTTTGAAGGACCAGTCCAGAAGTTGCTCTTGATTCAGGATTTCGTCGCTGGAATAACGTTTCACTGACCTTTCGGGACCTTGAACATGGACCAGGCAACCAAACGTTGGTTCGCTTTAACGTGAGAAGCTTCTTTTGCAGTGTTGCCCCAGAGACCCCATCGTCACAAGCGCAGAAACTTTTTCCTTGAAAAAGGGACACCAATGGCAATAGAGGTTCTCCCAACCCGTAGTACGTTAGCAAACTGTCTTCTTTGCAGCCTGCTCCAATTATCAACAGAACCGAAGACTGAGACACTACACAACAATTGAACCAATAATTTTGCTATCTTTGCGGGAAAGCGAATCTGGATGCGTCTTTTTCTAGGCGACCCCCCGCCCCTAAATGGATGGTTTCCTTGTGGGTTGATTTTACAAACATCCGAGAAAGATACCCCCAAAAACATACGCGCCCGTCTCTTTCGCAAATCGTTCGCAAATCCGTCGCCCACGCCCTTCTGCTTGCAGCCCGCGCTCTGGAGCCAATCTGGCCGCAGCAATTCCGCTTGCAAACGCAGTAATCACACCGAGCAGTTCACGCAGGCTTGCGGCAGCGGCAAATGAAAGCAGTCGCTATCATTCGCGCGTGCCACTTGCGCTTGGGGCTGTCCGTCCTGGGCCCAAAGGCCCAACGCGCGGAAGCGTGCAACAAGCTCCATGGGGCGTTTGCCGGTCTTTCGCCGATCTTTCCGCGAAACTTGCTCCCAAATTGCCCAGCCAATGCTTGGGTTAGTACCATTCCTCCCAACACAGGCAGGGAATCAAGGACGCAAATAAAGGTGCTATTCATCCTTGTCTATACGGGAGGTGGGTCTGCAAATGTGCTTGTGCACATGGTATAGTCCAAGAACCCAACGCAGAACTTTCCCGGGAAAAAAACAAGGCAAACCTTCGTCGCCGATCTTTTGCAGAGGGATTTAAACCAACTCCAATCATATCAAGAACACTCCTGACCCTCCGTATCTCCTCTGCCGAGGCCCATTGAGCGTCGGGCTGAAGCTCATTAGGGGCTCACCTGAGACGAGCGGCACCAAGGCCAAAACATGTCATTTGCGACAAACACGATGCTTGAGCTTGCCCACGTGTGTCCACTTTGTCATCCCACCTCTTAAAGCAGTGAGAGTCAACAAGATTGGCTGGCTTTTACGCATGGAGGCCAACAACGCCCTCGAGGACCATGCTCCGTCTGGAACAACCCCAAGGAGCCCCGCTTTCAAATGTGCATGGAATGCGACCTGATACGCAGCTAAGGCACTGTGCACCTGCAGCTGAGTCAGGTGAAATCTACGTATGTCTGCCCAAAAAAGGCGTTCCTCTACAATGGGCACCCCCTACGAATAAACCAGGGATCATAAATCCAGGGGTCCCATTTCACCCGCCATTTCATCAGGCGAGCGTGCGAAGAATTCGGAAAGCCCCGGCTAACTTGGCTTCGCCAAGTAGCCAAAGAGGTACTTCAACATACCTTAACCCCTTGATTGACCACCTACAAACTTTGGGCCCGGGAAACGCTTCTGTTGGAATAGCTTCACCCCGCCATGCCGCGATGCCACGAGGCCCAAGCTTGCGTCCCGCTCTGCGTGCACTTGAGGCAGAGGCGCCATGTTCGAGCCTCGAGAGGCGCAAGGACCTGGAACCTACGCACCATCTCTAGCTGGAACGCGTTTCTGGAAGGGCCCCCTGAAGTCCTAAGGGAAAAAGAAAATCCGGGCTAGGAGAGACAAGAGATGCTCAAGTACAGGACTCTCACCAGGGGCAAGCTAGTTCTCTCCCCCGGGTTCTCGTTGTCATGGAAGCGTTGGCCGCCGCCACATCACAAGTGCTACCGAACAGTGCCAAGGCGGCCAGGATAGCAATGACCGGCAAGGTGTCTGGAGTGCGATGCATTGCTGCAACTCGGCCGTCACAACAAGCGTGGACCTGAACTGGGGCGCGGATCCGAACAACAAAACAAGTTGAAAACACAAGGGACAAACCCAAGCTTGGCCACATTCCAACACTGCTTGACACAGCTGATGCATTCAAGCCTCAGAAACCTGGTGGTTGATAAGACCCGACTTGTGATTCCGTTAAACCAAAAACCACTGCGGTTGTAAACCCGAGTATGCCTTTTTCGAGGGAACCCTTACGCAAGCGATGCCACTGTGGATTCCATGTTGGGAGTTTCGCAAAACGAAGCCCTTGATTCATGTTGACTCCCCATTTATCAACCCCAATTTATTCATAGGGGGCGTGTTCCCTCCAAAAGTGGTCTGATATATCCCACATTTCACCCACAACCACACCCCCCCATTAATCAACCATGGGGTTGATTGATAGGGGGTCAACATTATTACCTGGTTCGTTAAGGGAAGCAGACGCCAGACGTTTTTGAGACCGAGCCCTGAAGGACCGGCCCCGCCAGCGCTTCCGGCTGGAAACGGCTTCCACGCTGGAGCCAAGGGCAACGCATGTGGTCCTACAGGGATCCTTACATGAAAAACACCTGCACATTGCCTTGTAAATGGTGGTGTCCCTTTGTTTTGCTGGAAAAAGACATGCTTCAAATGGTTGCAACATGTATCTTTTAAGGAGCCCTGTCCTGGGTGTCCTCCAAACGAATCCTGGCACTGGTGAGAACCAAACTGCAAGCAGTGCCATCGAAAAATGATACCCAAATAGCCTAAAAGGGGCACGGAGGTACCCCAAGGTGGTAACCCCAGACCAGCTACACCCATATCTCAGCGCCATGCCCTTCCTCGCATTGTCACGAGCATGCGCAACAGCACACAAAAACAATATGACAAACTACGGTGAATAGCTGTGTGCAATTAGGGCTTGTGCACACTGAAACTTGGCAAGGGATACCCAAATTCAATGACCGTGTCGTCCCAGTTTTTGCAGGGACGTTGGCCCGATTTGTTTTCAAAGACAACACGAACACGGGAGTGCATTCTTTCTTGATGATGTTTGAAAGGCCTAGGAGATATCGGCACGCGACAAAGTGTGGGGGGGGGGGGGGCGGGTGTCAAACAATATGGCCTTTTTGGATCCTGGTGCTGCCTTGCGCCGCCGTTAACATGGGATAGAGTTTGACAATCCCCCATGTCTGACTTGTGTAACCGGCATCCGTCATCTGCCCGCGTTGGCTGACAGGATTGTGAGGGCGATCGAGATTTGCTTGTTAGCAGGGAACGAGTTGGAATGACACGGAACAGAACCATCAAACTGGAGAGCCAGCATGATACTTTGATCTGCTTAGTTTCGCGCGAGCGAGTCAGTCCTCAGCCTAACTACTTCCCAGACCCTGCAGCGGTGCGCCCGGGGAGAAATGTGCGCCCTTTCCTTCACTTCAAACAAACACTGTTCCTTTGATCGGCTCGACTTGGAATCGGAACACGGGTGCTCCCCAAGACATGAGAAAGGGTAGTGTTGTGGCCCCTGGTCTTCGGGGAAAAAACAAAAAAAAACAAGAGAGCCAATCACTTGTCTATTCCATTGTGTTTTAGTCTTCCCTTAGGAACCGCTCAAGGCTCTGGGAAAAGGCCCGGCACATCTCATGGCCTGCGCCCAAGGTCTCACCGGAGCGGGGCTGTGTGAACATGTTTGAGCCTCTGTAGTTGTTACTGCCACGCAAGTTCCAGGAATTGAATTGGTTGGGATGCTCCCGCAACGACTGTGGAACATGCAACTTTGATCCTCCAAAACGCATGAAACCGGGTGCCCATAGGTGGCATCGATGGCCGCCGCCAGCAAAGCCTCATGAAAGAGAATGACAGGACAAAAATAAACAGTTACAAACAAGATCCTCAAAACAGTAACAACTGTTAGCCAGAACAAAAACAAACCAAGACTACGGTGGGACTAATCCCTTGCATTCTGTTTAAGCAACATCTAGTGTTTAAAGAACCTCTTCTTCGTTTCGGTAGGAGGGATCACTTCTTCAAATCAATTTGACTCCCCGGGCCGGGAAAGATCGCCTCTACGGATCGCGCAGTTTGGGAGTGAACTAAAGAACTGAGGCTCTGGAGCCGATGGATCCCACTGGAATCACCGGGCAATCCTACTGGAAGACTCTTCCAAACCCGGCAAACTTCAGCTGCAGCTCTGCAGCTCAACTCGGTCGCTTGCCTCTTCTCAAAATTCGGTTGAACGCTCCAGTCCTCTCATGTGATATTGCTTTCTGAGCCATCAGAACCTTACAGGCTCCTTTGCTTCGCATGTTCAAACCATCAGGGTATTTATCGAAAGGGGGGGGACCCCCAAGACGCAAGGCTTCCGTTTGGCGTTACTTCAAACCAAACCCACACGGGCACCCCAAAAAGCACATGTCCATTGCTCAATGGAACACTTTGCGAAAGCCCTGTGGCTGGCACCTCAGCCTCACCTCAGCTTTGGGTGCGTCTCAAACTACAGCATGGCTTTCACAAGAACCAAAAGGAAGGCAGCCAAATCGCTGCTTACCACGAAACCAAATGCGTTTTGCCCATGTCCGTGCATGAACAACCTAACCCAGTTGGTTGGTGACCCTGGTAGACAAGGGAACAATCTTCGGGGTTGACAATTGTTCATAGCAAATACACCAAATGAACTGGTCAGAAGTGCGCCGTGCAAAAGAGCCTTCGCCATCCGCTGCCATGGCAACGGCGGCCAGGTGAAACGCAGCCAGGAACACTCGAGTTGCTTTGCCTGGCAAAGTGGCACGGTCGCGAAAACCCAAGCAAACTGCGTTTGCTGGCGAATCTATTTTCCGCCCAAGAAGCTAAAGATCGTCAGCGGCCCTCTCTGAAATGAACAGCTGCGCACTGACCTCCCCACAAGCGCCCAAAAGGAATCCATGACGTCCAAAGGCCTTGTTGCGCCCTTGTGCGCGGAGATCTCACCATTCGTGGGCGCCCCAAGCAAATCATTTAGGCAGATCGCTCTGGTCATTGACGTGACTGGGTTGCGAGCCTTGCGCTCGGAACAGTTCAGTTCAGTGCACTGTGCACAAGGCATCCACCTGACTTCGAAGGCAAAACTTTCCTGAACGCGATGCCTCCGTTAGTCAGAACAACGCCGGGGGCTGTTTCCTCTTCACATCCTGAGGCTTGAACAGGTCAGCCACCGCTTCCGGGATGCCTCCTGAAGAAAACAGATCGCCCTCTTTGATCCACTTGGCTGATGAACAAAAAAGCGAAGAGGCCAGCGCTCGCCAGCTCGATGCAAGGTTCTTGCCAGATTGTATCCTCTTCTTTCGGAAGTTTTCTCCGATTTCACGCGAAAAAGGCTGGGTACCTAAATATTGCAGCTTAGTTGTTGCTATCCGGTTTCAGTTGACCACCCACAACTAAAATGCCACCGGAATGGCTCTTGGGAAACTGTTACAGGTCGAAATAAGCGCAGTTACAAATGACGCTGTGGATGACAACACCACAAGGGCTACCAGGTACTCTTGTCCCCGACTTGATGGGGCGAAGCACGTGCTTGGTCTATCACCTATTGCCAGCAACTCCGTAAGAGGCGCTTCGTTTGATCAAACAAACCGCATTGTATAGAGCTATGTCTCATCCCTACCCCTTCTGCAGCACGTCACTTGCAGAGTTCCTCCTATTATTGCGGTCCGAAACAAAGCGTGTGGTCCGAAAGCAAAGAATACCCCACAGATTAGTCTGCCAGCTACCCAGCAAATTGTGGCATGCAGTATCGGGTTGGTCGTTGACTTTCGCCCCTGCAAAGCAATAATGGTTATGTTTCAAAAGGCTAAGATCAGTTGCTCAAAGAACTTTTCTTTGTTTTTAAGTTATATCACCTTTGGGACCTTTACTAAACGTGGACCAACAAGGGAAAACCAAAAGGTTAAAAGGTCGTCGGCTTTGAACAACTGAGCAAGGGTCACACAGGGCAAGGTAAAGCTAAGCCCCCTCGACCGCGCCTGGGCTGCTAGTGCTCCACCAAATGCTTGCTCGAGCGCCTTGACTCGCTAGCCCCTCCCGCCCTCCCTCCGACAAGAAAGTTGCTCACATCCGAAGACATGCTTGCTACTTCCCCAGCCAACCCAAGTCATACAAGGTCAGAGCTGGGCTTTTGAAGATATCCCTTTTCAGTGTCAGAGTTCATGGTTCCCCTGCTGCGTGAGCCACAGAAATATACCATCGGGGCAGGCTGCCAATTCTCACTGACATCATACGGGGGCGCGCTTCAAAATCACATTAAGCCCAGTCAACACCCGTTTACAAAGGCAGCTCCTTTTTCGGGGGCCCTTTGTGCGGCTCACCATTCATAGGGAGTTGACTGCTCACGCAATGCATTGCGATCTTAGGTGGGCATTTGTCACTTTCTGGTCTGGTGTTTTTACCAGTGAAAAGTGAACAGTAGACAATTTCACAAAAGGCTTGGACGGTCCACATGAATTTGTGCATGTTCATCGAAAGGGTGGCTGAAGAAGGTGCTCTTTTCAAGAAAACATACAGGGGCCTAGGTTTCTCTGGAGGAAGAACGCCTTGGTAAGGCTTGCCTACTGTGTGGTGTCATGATCATTGTGGAAAACACCCAGAACTGCGTGCCCTAAAGCCAAACCTCCTGAAAGCAACCACGGCCCACACGTCAAGGCCACATGGCAAGCAAACTGGTCAAAGCTGCCCAGTGCACTGATGTCTCTGTTGATTTCCATGCCTTCGACAGAAGATTGCCCTGTAAATGGTGGGTTCCATTTCTTTATCTTGCTGGAAAAAAGCCAGATGTTTCAAATGGAAAGGCAAGATGGCGATCTTCTAAGCCCTGTTCGATGTTTGCATTTCCCAGACCTTGGGCCACCAGGGGACCATCCAGCTCGCGAATTGCATGCTTGAAATACACGGCTGCAATATGAGCAACTCTAGATCAGCGGTCGCCTTCAAACCAACAAAAACAAACACGTTTGATTCGGTCGCATGACATAGTTTAGTAAACATGAACCAACTTCAACAGAGATCCCGTACCTTAGCAAGACCTGGGTGGCCGATGAACATGCTCCTACATGAACCCGCTGAAAGACGAAAAGTATCGATTGTACTGTCAGCAGCTAAGCTGTTCTGTGTGTGTGGTTGTTGTGAGGGTACCCCTTTTACCGTGGCTTGAAAGAGAACCCGCCACAAGACCCATCCATTGCGGGGGTATATCCATATTTTGTCACATAGCTATAAACTTGCGTGCAAAGTGGCAATGGGAAATGAACCACCTTTGCAAAAGCAACTATTGCTGGTTGAGCTGGTTGAACTGCAACAGGGTCAAAATGCAGTCTACTTTAAAACTGAGCGAATGTGTTTTGTTGTTAGCTCAGCTGGATTCAGTGTGTTTTTTTACTTTGGACTGATAGAAGCAGAGGCGCCAACAGGGTACCATCCAATAACAACACTCTTCCCTTGCATCAAGCGGCGAAGTGACTCTTGGAGGGCGCACGTCCTTGCCATTCTGTTGGACCAGAATCGTCTTGAAGTCGTCTTTGCAAGGGAAGGCCACCACGCTGATCCTGCCACAGCTACGTATTCTACTGTCTGATTCTTGAGAAACCCTCAACCTGAAGTAAGCGCTCCTTGAGAAATAAGCCTTCATCATGGGTGCAGTCACACTTGTGACACTTGTGGTAGCTTCAAGACAGAACGGCCACCATACTCTGACTTTAACATAACACGAAATGTCCCAGCGCTATTTGCCATGCTTGCTTCCACCGGCACAGCTAGACTCCTGGAGAAAGAAGGGCTTCCTTGGCAAATTGCTCTTGCTTTGCTGGGTGCTAAATAGGAGGTTTGGCGATTCATCATTTTGAGACCAGTTCATGGCTGGCAAGACAATCAATTAGTTAGTCTACTTAACATATTACGGCGAATTGGCGAAGGCGGAGCAAGTTGAGGGATTGAGAATGAAGGACGCCGAGTTGTGGTAATAAGGGAAGCCGTTTTCGGCTGACCATTTTATTCGGAAATCCAAAAAAACGAGAAGTAACGTGTTGCTGAACAACTGGAGAACACATGAACCACAGTCCTACTATGCAGTTCATGTAAAGGACATGTGATAATTGGTGAGTTTGCCTGGTTGTGGGATTTTGGTGAGTCCACCATGTCCCGCCCAGATATAGACTTCTGAGACTTTCACAGAACCTCCTTGCTAGAACCACGCTGAGGAGCAGCATTCTTGCCGGACCTAGTCCCCCGGAATGACCTTTCCACGACCGGGGAGCATAAGGCTGCTGGGCAGCCGCTTCACGCTTTTTGCTTGCAGATGTTTCTGACGTTCTTTCCTGGTCCGAGGATCATTGACCACATTTGTTCAGCATGCGCCTGTTGAGAGTATGGCTGGGTGCCGGAGCGGGTCGTCTCATCATGAACCCTCTCAGAATGGAGGTTTGCCTGTTGTTTTCCCCTATGTAAAAACAGTTCCAAACAAGCCGAAGTCCCAAAAAAAAAGACACACCCGCATGGAGGTCCCACGCACCAAGCTGTGCGACTTCCCCCAGTCTGCCTTGGGCTCTCCTGGCGGATCTTGGCGAGCCAGCTCTGGCACACCTTGCGCCGATTTTTCCGAAGAGGGGGTCTGAATTAACAAATGAGAAAATCTGCCACTGCAGGTTTGCCATAAGTCCAAAAGTCCAAAACCTGAATTAAGGGATCCCCAAGCAAAGGACCTTTTTCATGGTGACCTCACTATACCCCCTGGTACTCGCTACAGAATAGGAAGAGAACATGTCCCATCTTCTTACAATGTTGGCAATGTGCAGCCCAGTCATCTGCCAATGGGTGTAAGTATATCCCCACCCATTGGGGAAAAATCCCTCCTCAAGGCTTTCCAGGCACCCACAAGGGGAAAAGTTAATCGAGACGGGCAAGGATTCCTTATGAAAGGTACAACCCCACCCGCCCATAGGGGGTGGGGATGGTTGTCTGCAAACTAGGATTCCGCAAATTTACAGCAATGTGAATTTGTCTTGGGCCAGGTCACTTTTCAAAGCTAAAACCAAAAGATCCACCCAACAAGCCAAAACCAGATATCAACAAGGATCAAAGTCTGCAAGTCAGGTGAGCTTCACCTGAAAACCCTTACAGCGAAAAGTTTGATTGCCAAGCTGGACACAGTAGGGGCTATTTAATTGGTTCGTTGACATGAACCAAGGGAATCCCAGTTCGGGAACACCCATAGCAGCACCACCAAGCACAAGCAATCATGAATTGCCCGGCCTTTCGTATTCCCTACATGCTTAAGCCGCAGGACAAAACCGTGCACCAGCTAGGTGGTGGTTCACTCCTTCACAAGATTTTCTCCATCCCAACTGTTGCGAAACGGATATTCGTCCAGTATTGTGGGTGAGGAAATCAACCGCAGGGTGCCCCCAAAATTGGCCATGCCCCGGAACCTTCCCTGTCTCAAACCCCCCTCGCCTCACACGGCCACAAGGGTGCGATCTCGCCCGAAGGGTCAAGGACCGCAATGGCCTGCAAGAAGCGACCGGACTCGGACAGGGAAATCGTTTTTGCATTGCTGGTGCTTACTTTGCTTTGGCTGGGATTAATTAAAGGCAAACCAAGAGACATTATCCATTCTTTGGGTCTACTCTACTCAAAGGAGAGGGAAACACAGTTTTGTCAACAACGGGGGAACCCGGGACCTTAAAAGGAACGAACCCCTCCGTGACTGCGACCTCTCCCTTAACCTTGGGGTTAGCGCGAGCAACGCGCTGTTTTCAGCACTTGAGCCAAAGCAGTGATTGTATCATGCTCTGGCAATGACTTGAATGTACAACATGCAACTGACTACATGAGAACCTACCTCATGTACCTCTGGGCCATAAATGTCATCGTGATAATTGACTCCCCCCTCATTGACGGCACTGAGGGAGTGTCTTGCGCGCATTACCACGCCAACTTGAAGTCAAGTTTACATCACAACGACTGACACAAGTTATTCAAGCATCACCCAGGCACTTTGCACACTTTTTGGAAATTTTTGGACATGCTGCAGCGCACTAGGCAGCTGCTTTAGCGGCTCTACTTTCACGAACGTCTTCAAGCTTCTCTGGAAGGTCAACACGAATGCCGAGCAACCGGATGGCATGGTCCCACTTGTTGGGTGGAAGTGCTTTCGTGAAGATGTCCGCTGACTGCATGTCGGTTTGGACGTATTCTATCGAGATGTGTTCGCTTTCAAGCTGCTCTGCGATGCACGCGAGGTTCACCTTGTGCGTTCGCTGGACACAGCGTAGCTTGGATGAGAAACCTTTTCTCGCTACGAGGATAGTCGCCTGATTGTCCTCGTGGATCTTGAGATGGAATGGTCGGTCCAAGATCAGCTCCCACAAGCTAAGCGCAGGGAGCGCCTCCTGATAAAGGGAGTATGCGAGAGATACAATCTCCGCCTCGGTCGTTGATCGAGAGACCGATGTCTGCCTTTTGGAAACCCACGCAAGCGGAAAATGCGTGTGCGGACCACTCAAAATCAAGAATCCTCCGGACGTGGATTTTGCATCTCGCTCTCCAGCGAAATCGGCGTCCACATAAAGAGACAGATGCAAATCCTCAGTCGAATCTTGAACTGTGCCTACTAGCGTGCTGTTGACCGTGCTGTTTATGTAGCAAACAAGCCTATGTAGCTGCTTATCGCAGTTTCTAGACCATTTTTGAACAAATGAGGCAAGGTCGCCAATGGGCTTGACCAGGTCTGGGCGTGCCAACCGGCCGAGCCATAAGGCTTTCATCAACACGCGGCAAGCGGCGAAGCCGAGCTCACCCTCCAAGGCGTCATCTGCAGGATCGAGGGATCCAGCGGGACAGAATGGAGTGGTGGCATCACGCAACTTTTCACTTTTCAGCTGTGCAACCTCAAGATATAATGCTACCGTTTGACGGGCATAATCCCGCATGTCGAACGCCATGCCCCCTTTCAATCTGCCCATTGCGGCATTAAGATCGGGTTCAGTTGGGTCCTTTGGAGCATCTATCAAAAGGTGAATCCTGCCTAGCACCCGGTATATGTCTTCTGGGGGTTCTATATCAACCAGTCTTGTTAACTTTTCCCAGAAGTCTTTATGAAGGTGGCTGGGGCCGGCCAACGTCAAGTCGTCGACGTATGTCGAGAGAAGTAACCCGGACTCCTTGAACCAGAAGTTTCCAGGAAACTCTGCGACCTCACGCCCTCCAAGTTCACTAATGAACCCTTTGAGGTGTGCCTCCCAGAGTCCGCCAGCGTCAGGATGCCCATAAAGAGCTTTAACGAGCAAAACCACAGGTTTCACGAAACGCTCGCGCCACCACCTTGGCCGGAGCTCAGGCGGGAGTGTGATCCAAGTTTGGTACTTGGACTTCAGCAGTGCTTGCACATAAGCCTTTATAGCGTCCGCTGTTGTGGTGGAATTCCCTGGCAGGGATCCATAAGCGAGACAGTTATTAAGACCTTGTACGCTCGTGGGATTTGCTCCCAATTCTTGGTAGACAGCTGCTGCGCCATGTTCATCTTTCGCACAGTCTCCGCGATACACAATCCTACCTTTCATCTTCTGAAGGTGTTTCGCGAGTTCGGCGAACTTGACGGATGCTAGCGACATCAACTGCCCGAAATGGACTTTTATACTGGATCGTCGCGCCTCAGCAGCGACTTGATCATACTCTCGGACTGAATTTAGATCCCAAGCACCGGCTTTCTCCAGGCCTGTGGCTTCAAGTCGAACGGCTTCAAGGGCTTCCGGGGAAGCCAACATTTCGGCACGTGACAAGAGTCTGGTCACCATTGCGGTGATCTCAGGATCCTTCTTCTCTTGACTTGTCCTAGGGAATGTGCGATGAGATTTTCAACATCAAGAACTTGTTCAAGGATGTCGTGACACTTTTCATCGGACTCAACAGCAACACCTATATCTTCCAAACCAGAGAGAGGGGATATGTGCTTCAACTGCTGTTCACGTTCCCGGTGATCGAGAGGCAATGGCACTTGGACAGGCATCGCAGGCACAACGGGTTGAACTGTCGGATACAGCGCACGGGCAACTGTGAGACACATGCCTTCGGGGTAGAAAGCGGTCTTTGCGGTCTTGTTACCTGCTGCAAGCGAATGCTTATACCCTTTTTCGTGCGGACACTTGAATGCACCTAGTGCGGAGGCGAGTGTGCTATTGCTGGTCATGACTTTCCATGGCTTTTTGATGGGATAGCCATTGCTGTCCTTCAGGCCTAGGGCGCAACCATGGAAGGTCGCTGGGGTGAAGACGTGTGCATATTCTCTAAAGAATGCAGAAACATCATCCCTAGCCCAGCTGTCGCAATCCCTTGGCCATTCAAACGAAACACTACCCCTTTGATGAAGGACAGTCTCTGCGTGACGTCTGAATCTGGAGAACAACTCTCTCGACTCTCTAACTTTTTGCTTCAGTTTCTTTTTGAACTGGCTTCCTAACTTGGCCTTATTAAGGCGTTGCCATGCTGAACCTGATGTACAGGGAATTGCGGCCCAGAGATTGGGTTTATCACAACCTTCAATCTGCGACTGCAACTGGATTTCTCCTTCATCTGTGCTGAGGTCGATAAACTCTTTAGCCAGCCTAACATGAGGTATGCCAAGACCTTCAAACACGCGACCCATGTTGGACTCTGGTGAACATGCGTATTCGAACATCACAGGCAACTTGTCAATACGTGCCTGTTTCTTGCGGGCACGATGATTTCCAACCTCAAACTGCTTGCGCTGTGGAGCTTCAACCTCTGCGCTGCACGGCATGCCAAAAATTGGCAATGTGTTCGGACGACCGTTCTTTGATGCATCGGTGAGAGGTGTCGGCGGTACGGAGTCTAACATCACGGCTGCACCTGTGGTGATAACACAATCGGACTGAATGGGTTTTAACTTGAACACTGTGAACCCGGTCCATGCATCTCCAAGTGAGCGATTGGGTCGGCTACCAAACCAACCATCGTGGATGTTGTCTGCTTTGCCCCCCTGAAACACGGCACGAGTGGTGCGAGCTGCAGTAAATCTTTCTGGGGAAACGGGGCAATCCTCGACCTCTTTTGGGGTAAAAAGCTTCTGCCTTGGCATGATATGGTACCGAACCAAACAGTTGGCATTTTCTTTGAACACCCAAAAATCTTCACCTTGCGATGTAGCGGCTGTCGCTGGCGCGGTATCGAAAAATGAGCCACCGGGTCTTGAGGGAGCGGGCTCCCCAGCTTCGGCCGCATCAAATTCATGCGCAACATCTTCTGCACTAACTGCGGGCTTAGGATCCCCTCCATGCTCGGATGCGTGGATTGCTCTAGCTAGCTCCTCATCCCCTTCAGTATGAACAATGGGAATGGATTCCTTAGATTCAGTTTTGGCAGCGCTTTTTGCAGCTGCTTCAGCTCGATCTGCAGAAACAAGTTCGGAGAACCTCTTCTTGCATTCGGCACTGTGAATCTTGGAATGACCGGTGCATGCACGGCAACCTGGCGTTTCCTTGAACTTGATGATCCTCTCAACAGTTATGTACACGGACTTTGACTTGACAGCGGATGGAGTCGGTGGGGCACCAAAGGGCGCCTCTCGCAGGGGCAAAGGTGGGGGATCAGACCCTTCTGTCTTGCCACCATGCAATGCTCTATCTGCTGCTGCTGCAATCGGAAAGCTTGGGGGTCCGTCTTCAACGAACAATTCCGGTTCAGGAACATCGTGAACGGAAATGGAACCATCTTTGCGGAAGGCTTCATAGTCCATGACTTTGACCACGTTACGGTACCGCAACCCCGGATCGATCCTCCAACCCAAAAAGAGCGCTGGCGCCATGTTCGGATCGAGAGTGCGCTTGCCAGGAGTCTTGGTTCTGTACCAAACCAGTTGCCCGAAACAGCATCTCCTACCTTGGAACTTTTCCTTGGTGAGGGCTTCCCATTGGGTTTTCCCTGGGCTGAATGGAGCAGGCCTGTCAAACGACATGGAGAGGCATGCAAATGGGTAACTAAACGTATGCAACGAATAGGGCAACCCTGATTGCAAGTGGATGCTGCGACAGCATTCCTTCTCTTCGCGAATGTCGCGCTCCAGAACGGTGTTGTGTGGCCACCTGTTCGGTAAGCTTGTCTCGGGGACGAGACCGACTTCATGGGCCGCTCCTTCGAGCTCTCCTGCTGCATCCATTTTTACTAGACATGTTGGCGGCGAATCAGTGGCCCGAAGGCCCATGAACTGACGGAAGTTTTTAACATGCGCTTGCGTGTCCCGCCTACTCACAGGGTAAGCAAGTCGTACGCCTGAGAAAACATCACGTACTACATGGTGAGATTTGATCCCTCCGAAACCTACTCCGAGGTGTTCATCGCCCATGGCAAGAATCACGGAATCGGTAGCCAACTGTTGAAATGGTGCAGTTGGGACATCGACTTTGTCGTCTGATCTAGCATCCTTTTTGTGCGCTACCCTTGCGGAAGTGGTCTTTGAGATTGAACACACCTTGCAAAACGGGTTCTTCGGG